CTTGAAAACTGGATAAGCCATGTACTGATGCAAATCAGGACTTTGTGGCTCTTCCTGTCTATGTAATACTTGCATTCAGAAAGACACAGCTGACAGCTCTTGGACAATAAACAGAGCCCAGGAAAAAAAAACAAAACAGCAGTCTGACTATATTAAAATGCAAAAAGTCAAGGGCAAGCTGGTAACTTTTCAACCAGATGCTGTGGTGCCTGATCCTGAAAGGTTCCAAAGATGTTATATTTGCAGCTGTGGCTGGTACGTGCCATGGGAGGATTAGTTCATAACCCTTTTATGACAGCTGTTATGACATCTGTAAGGTGGAGTAAAAATGCTTTCCATCCCACTGGAAACCCTGACATCAAGCCAAATCTAAGAAACAGAACTACAGAAAACAAAACTCTGCTTGGATTATGTGTGTGCTGTATGCCTTATGCCACCAACTAAAGTGCTCTTATTTTTTGTGTGTTCTTTATGCTTTTCTAGGTGAATAAGTTGAAAGAAGAAAAGGCTGTTTTGACAGATGAAGTTAATAAACAACAAAAACTCTGGGAAAAATGTAATAGAGGTATGTGGTTTCAGCAAGTTCTCCAACTCTTTGCTACATCCTTTGCAGAAGTTCCAGAGCTTTTATGTCGTAGTGCAAAGAGAAGGTTACAGAACAGTGACTGTGGTCCAGATCTGACACTCGACCTTATTGCTGCAGGCACTGCATAAACACATATTCTAGACTATCTGTACTCCAGCAAAATGTAACAATGTAAATAGCAGATGGTGTGTGAGAACAGGAAAACTTGCTCTGTGCCACAAGTAGCAAACCAGGGCAGGAGGGCAGTCTTACACAGAGATGGAGTTTGAACCTTAATCTCCTGTTCTTCTAATTATTACATCAGTTTTTCTCTTAGTTGGAACACAGCTAATAATTTTGAATAAAGACTTGGGAGCAACTTGTCTTATGTTCAGAGGATGATGAAAAAAAGGCAGGAGTGCTAGAATGTGATAAATAGGATTTCCATGTCATGAATGCAAATCAGGAAATTTCCTTTCCTGGAAAGAGAGGAGAAGTAAAACCAGGGCAGGGAAAGTCTAAAAAGAGATACAGCTCAGAAAAGGAAAGCTTTGGCTTAGTGTAGGTGAGTGCTTCTGCATGAAGAATAGTTGACCCCAAAGAAGTTTAGAGGGCAGGGGAAAGGTTTTAATGCCTTGGGTTCCTGTGCCTTTTTCTCTTGTTGCTTATTTAGCCTGATTTAGTTTGACTATGGTTAAAAGTCTCATTGACTGTTTCACATTTTCCTTGAAGTGTAAGACAAGAGGTATGGCCAAGATTTAGGAAGGCATATCTTGTAGGCTTCCACCAAGTGTCTGTCTCTTACCTCTTCCGTGTGTCTACATTGCTTAAGCCTATGACGGGCAGTACTCGAAGTCTCTTCTAACACCAAACCACAGATACACTGATTAAACAGATCAGCTTGAAGCTTTTGATGGGACAGTGTGGCAGATGAAAAGTTTCTGAAATGTTTTCTTTTTTCTAAGCATGATCAAAAGAACAGCCCCTAGTTTCACACTTACCTGTCTTCTGGAAGGAAGAGTTATACCAGCCTAGGTCCTAATGCAGTGGCAACATAAAGCAAGATTTCTTTTGTATGCATGAAATGAGCTATCAAAATACTGTTCAATACCTACTGTATCCTGTCTGTGTGGATACGGGTTGGAGCTTTGTACTCAATGCATTGCAGTGAGAGTTGGTGAATTTATCTGAAGTCTAAGTATGTTGGTTGTTTATTGGGTATTTTGTGTGTGTGTTATTGGAGTTTTTTTGTTTGTTTAGTTGTTTGGGGTTTTTTTAAGTGAAGCTTATTTTGAGAGTCAGGTGGGCTGGGATGTGCATCCCACTGTCTAAATTACCACTTACTGCACATACCCTTAAAAACATTAAGCTCATTTCCAAAAAAAGCAAGGAATTTGTGAGCAACAGTGTTAGAAATCCAGTGACATCACCCTGCAAACTAGTCTTCAGCCAATAAGAGTTAAAGCCTATCAAGATATTGCATGTGGTCACTGAGACATCTTCATGTGATACTTGTGTACTTCCAAATGATCCTTGCTGTGCTGGACTGCAGCCTGTTGGGACTGGTTTGGGAAGCATGATCCATGCTTAACTTTAGTCACCCACATGAGCCTTACTTTTGTGAGCACAGTTCAAATACAGGCAACACAAAATTGCACTCCTTTCTTCATGAGGCTCCTTTAAATCTCTGTTGTAAAGGGGCACATCAAGCCTCGCTCAGACCAGGCAAACAAATACAGATGCCTCAAAAATAATGTAGTAGTCTTTGATGGATTCAGCAAGGGTTTCTTGAGGCTTTGGGCACTTACACAAAAAGAGGCAAAATATGGCTTGTGCTACTTGATGCCTGTGACTGGAGATTTTGAATAGGAGTGTTATTCTGTTCAGAAGATCAGTAATTGTGAATATATATAGTGAGGTGTAGAGCAAAGAGGACAAATATTGCAAAGCAGACTGTATGTGGAAATGTAAAACTAGGTTATACTGTCAATGGGGGATTCATGGTAGTAGGGATTAGCAGCTTATCTGGGTAAATCAAACAGTAGTTCTTCTTTTGATCCATTTCACTTTTATTTCTGATCTAGTTTTATTCTTATAAACAGTGTCTGTGCTGGCAGTAGAGGAATATGAAGAGCTTCATGTAAACCTTGAACTGGAAAAGAACCTGCGGAAGAAAGCAGAGTCATTTGCACAAGAGGTGAGTAGTCAGGAAAAAGGGATCTTGTAAAATGAAGACATTGCAACTGGGCAAAAACTTACCAGCTTAGATGACTTGATTTCCATTCCCAGCTCTTGTACAAAAGAAGTCTTTGAGTGTCCATGTACTACTTACCATGTACCTATTCCCTAAAATGGGTTTAGTATTTCAACAGCATTTATACAGCACTTCAGAATCATCCTTACCTCTTTCCCCTTTTAAGGTGAGGCTTTAAATTTGTGATGGGCTTAGTTAGCCACAACATTTCAGTGTGGTATATGTAATGGCTGGATCTGGAAAGGATTAGCTTTCTAGTGATGTAATTTGAAGCACTCTGTTTTTCCTGAAAAATATGTGGACTCATGATAAAAGTGTTGCAGAAATACAGTGTTAGTTGAGGTTTGTGCAAGTTTGGCTGCTATTTAACGTATGCCTTTTCATTAACCTATTGCAGGGAGCATTCAAGCTGAAAGAATTTGTTTCCATGTTCTAGAAGAGGTACAAACTCAGAGAGGAAAATGAGTTACTGGGTAGCTTTATGGGTTGGCTGGTGGTTGCTCTGATGGCTTGTGACTGCCAATGTTTGCCTTAAAAAATGCTAACAAACTCTCATTCTGTTGATACACTGAAGCCCTATAAAATCGTAAGTTTGGTGTAGGTTGGACTGCTTTTTTCCTCATGTGCTTTTTCTGTTTGCACTCTGGATTTTAAAAGCTCTGCACTTGGGTTATACTTTCAAGCTTTTTTATCCCAAGCTGTGGAACAGTATTTTCTTTAATAAAAGTTGGACTTCCTAAGTAATTATTTTTCAGGGAGCTCAAGTTTAAAGAAAGCCATTATATATCAAAATTACGTGAGTTATCAGTACTCAGGTATTGTAAAGGGAAACATCTGACATCTGATATGAAGTGGATTTAAGATTTTGAAAACATGGTTGCCAGCAAGTAGGTATTTAGCCTTCAGAAGTCAGGTTTTGTCTGAGTAGAGAGTTCTTTTGCTTTTTGTCTTGCTTTGTCTCTCTCAAAAAACCAGGTTAAAAAGTATATTTGATAAGTCCTGTACAGTCAACTGCATTCAGTCAGTGATTTTAAGCACGGGCATATGTGCATTTTGAACCTCTATAGAAAACAGTGAACAGGCTCTAGTGTGTTCTGTTAATCTTGTGAGGTTTGCTGGGTGTTTGAAGTGTTTTGGGTATGAACAGAATTGTGTAACAACATTTTAAGCAAAACAAATTCTGGAGGATTTGAGATAAAATGTAAGTAAATTTAAAAATCTCAAAGTGAGGGGTGAAGAGATCAACCCACATGTTACTTGTACTTGCTCACTATCCCTGACTATGCTGTGTACAAAAGTGGAGAACTTTACAGCAGTTAAGAAAACAGATCTCTAAGAATGTGCATTTAGGCTGCATTACTGCAGTATCTATCTTGCATCTACTGTTGCTTTGCTTTATCTTCTGAAGTACAGAATAATTAGGTACTTCTGTCCATTAACTAACAACAGAAGATTGTACATAAGGGTCTTATGTTCCTTAGAAAAGAGTAATTTATAAATGTGTAGCTAAGCTGGTTTTCAGATAATAAAAGAATATAATCTGATACTCCAGGGCCAGGATGTTGCTTCTGTTTAGATTTATAACTGCAATATTCAGATCCATATTCTTTTTGAAAGATTATATTAAAAGTACTTTCTGTAATTGAGTAACAAACTCAATTATAAGCAGTTAAGTACAGTGGCAAAGAGATGCTGATTATTCTCAAACAAGCACTTCTTGGGTTTTGTCATTGTTGTTATCTCTGCCAAGAACATAGGCCCCTGTTGTTGTGCTGTCAGCATAGCTGTTCACTTGAAGCTTTTCATTCCATCAAGTTCTCCTGTCCAAACTGGAATCACTACAACAGTGAACTTCAGGCCTGCATTAGTCTTCCCTTTGTGTACCTGCTTGTCTTCCTTTTGTACTGTGCTGTTCAGAGAGAGTTCTAGAAAGTTTTCTAAAATGCAGGAGCATGTGTCAACAAAGGCATTGCTCATTTGTGTTTGTGGAACCAGAAGTATTTCAAATTACTTTCAAAACCTGTTATCATTGGCCTGGTTTCACACTGATGGTGTCCCTTGAGTGACCTGAGGCATTAGAGAGACAGGCTCTGGCCTACAACTGCATCCACAGCAGCAAAGCTTTATGCTCGAGTGAGGCTGTGTGAGCATGGATCGTGTCCAAGGTCACAGCTGTGTTTTGAGAGCTGAGGTTTCTAGGATGCGCTTACAGGAGCTGTGTTTGGATTATGCTAAGGATGTTCAGGGATTTTCTGCTTGCTTTCATTAGCCACCTGTTTTCTCTGTCCCTATAAAAATGTTACTTTTCAAAAACAAAATTTCTGTCGGATTTTTGCTTGTGTGTTGCAAAAGCCACAGTGGTTAGTTGTGATAAGTTGTGTAGTGTTGAGAGAAGGAATAGGTTTGAGTAGAGAGTAACACTGCATGTTTGGTGGTGGTCACATTGTCTTTGCAAGGGGCTGAGGTATCTGAAACTTGCCTTCATGGGGTGATTGGCCATGTATTCACATTCACCCCTTTCTCCATAATGTGGAGTCATCTTCTAGCTTTACCCTCCTGGGGTTGTCTTGCAGCTGTAATGGGAGGGGACCAGAGGAGTGCTGGTGCAGCTGCTTTTCAAAGGGCTGCCCTTTGCCTCCTGCCCTTCTGACAGGTGAGGAGGGTTTGCTACAGAACATGGGCACTTGGGAGTGCAGGTGTGAGAGATAATGGGTGGGTGAGCATGTGTGCAGAAGCGAACACAGATGGGGGAGAGGAAGGACGTGCAGCAAGAGAGGGAGGGAGCAAGCACATATAGGAGTGAGCTAACACTTGAAAATCAGAGCTTTTGATTAAAATAGAAAACCTCAATACAGCTTTAATTATAGTCATGCTGCTGGCACCACCATAATATATATTTAATTAATCAAAAATGATCCAACTTCAAACATTAGAATTCATGCTCTTTAGAGGTTCTAAAGAAACTGAGTAAATATTGTCAGTCGTGGTGTGGAGAGGGGGAAGGAAAAGGAAAGAGGGTTTGAAGTGAGTCACAATCCATTGTGAAAGGTACAGGAATCTGCATAAAAGAACTAAATAAATAGAGTGTGTAAGGGGCGGGGGCATGGAAAAATCTGTACCTACCTGAATAAAATGGGGTTGTTAACACAGGAATCTTGGCAAGCTTAACCAGAATTCTCGTGTCAGGTTTTAAGAGACACTTTAAGATCTCTTAGCTGTTTGTGGAGCAGTTTGTAAGAAAACAAAGGAAGGCAGAAGTATCTTGAAGGCCATGGCAACAATATAGAGGCTAGCCCTGAAAAGCACTCTTGCGCAGAGATGAGAAAAATACAATACATACAGCCAAAGCAAGCCAAAAGGGGGGGGAAACACGGTGAGAGAAGTAAATTGAAAGTCTTAGAAATGTAAAAATCTCTTGAGTTTAACAAAATAATCTTGCATAAGTGGTTTATTTAACATGCATCCTGCCTTGCAGCAATATTTTGTAAAGCAGTGTTGTAGTTTAACCCCTGCTGGCAACTCAGCCCCACTCAGCCACTCACTCACTCCCCATGACAGGATGGGGGATGGAATTGGAAGATAAAAATGACAAAACTCAGGGGTTGAGATAAAGACAGTTTCATAAATAAAGCAAAAGCTGCACTCAAAAGCAAAGGAAAACAAGAAATTAATTCACTGCTTCCTAGGTGTTCAGTTCCTCCAGGAGAGCAAGGCTCCATCATGTACAACAGCCACTTGGGAAGACAAACACCATCACTCTGAATGTCCTCACCTTCCTTCAGCTCTGCATGCAGAGCATGATGACATAGGGTCTAGAATATTGCTGTGTTCAACAGCAACTGGTATCTGAAGATAATTAGTTTGCAGTCCAGCTGACTGAACTGGAAATAATAATTAAAGAGACATGATAAGTGGTTAGTACTTGAATTCTCCTGAGCTTGAATGTTACCACTTTGAAGCATGATGTAATGCTAATATGTTTCATCAAGCTTTTTCCCAGGAACAGGCTAGTGAAATGGTAACAGATGTGTGCTCTAGGAAACTATCTCTTTGGTCTCTCTTTCTTTTTTTTTCTCCCCATCTCTTATTGTTCAGGCAATTAATCTATGGGGAAAAAAGTGAAGAGGTTTCCTCCTTTTTCATGTGGTATATGACCTACTTCTGAATGTATTAGATGGTGTCTGAATGCTGTAAGACTGTGAGCATTATAAAATGTGTCACTATGCTTCTGCCATGGCAAAAAGAAAACTGCAGGAAATGAAGAAATAAGTAACAATATAGATTATTTTTTTTCTCTTTATTTTGGGCCTTTATGCCTCATAAGCAAAGAGGGAGTGCTGTAGTTTGGCAAACCCTTTTGTGCAGAGCAAGCTGGTAAAATAAATAATAGTCTGTTTTTAGGGAAGTTGCAGTGCTGATGCAGATTGTTTTTTCACCGTCAGAATCCCTGCTCCAAGCACCTCTGTGGTGAGAAGCAAATGATGGACAAGAAATAGGGTTAACTCATCTGCTCCAGTTCTCCCTTCAGAAGTTGCTTAGCAATTAGCCAGATAACTAGAACAACTTTATTATATCTTTATCAGTCTAAAATATTATGAATCATCTAGATGAGTGACTGTTGTCTGCCCATTATTATGCACATGTCCTTTTTCATGGTCATGTTGCTCAGTTTTCTGTGGCAGCTTCAAAATCCAACGAGGGTTAGTCTTGGGCTCCTCTAAAGGAGGAGGTCTATGAAGGTCACAGTATATTGCCAGAAATGCATCACTTTGGTTTGGGGTTTTTTCATTAAGGAGAGTCTTGTCCTGTGCCCTTCATGCCCTTGGCATTAGCCATTTGGGTGATCTCTTTCTGTCTAACATCATGTGAGTGTTGCTTGCCACAGAAGCAGTTCCTGGGTGGGGAAGAATACAAGCACCAGATTGAAAATTTTCAGATCAGAGTAATGCCACATGCACTTAAAAATAAGCACATATTGAAGTAAGCTTTCTGGATTGTGTCCTAACTGCAGAAGTAGTTGTGTGCTACTGCAGCAACACTTCAGACACCTATGAACCCACTTAAACCACAAGAGATTTCTAACTCATACACAGCTGATCTCATTGCTTGATGTGCAGCATTGAGCCTGAGTGTAGAGAGAGCATTTCTAGTTCAATGTCCAAACTATGGGTGTGTTTCTTAATGTGTTTTAGTAAGATACATCTGTTTCTCAATTCTTTTATCAGAAACTCCTACTAGCCATTGTTTCTTGCTGTAATATTTATCCCCAGTGAAGCTCACAAGCCCAGGTGTCCTTGATAATACAGTAGAGTTAAGCAGTTGCAAAGTTAAAATATATATATTTCCTTTGTTACCCTGATAAGCCACTGAACTAAAAGCCACACCAGGAGTTATATTTTAATCCAAGTACCTCCTGAATTTAGAGCCACTTAGTGCTCTGTCAAGCCATAATCAGACAAAATGACTCTGTTCTCTCCAACACATAAAATCCTACAGTCTGTTCTTTTGGGGAGGTACAACAAATACCTTGATCCTGCCTCTCTTGGGACTCATTTCAGGTCTGAACACAAGACTGTAAGGCTTCAGTGCACACATAATGCAAAAGGCAGTGCTCTTGTAAGCTGTGACAAATGTAGATGAGTGGGTTGTCTCTCCGTGAGGGTGAGTTACTGATTTCTTAGTAGGCTGAAGTGTGGATGGGGCAGTGCTGCTCAGAATTCAAATCAGGGCCAACTGCTCAGTTGAGTGATCTTTTCTGTTTGAGATTTCCCAGATTTGACTCTGCCTTGCTTCTTACCTTTTCTTACTCTATTCATAAAATCATAGAATTTAAGGGTTGCAATGGACCTTACAGATCATCTAGTTCCCACCCTCCCTGCCATGGGCAGGGACACTTCTTCACAAGATCAGGCTGCACAAGGCCTCAAACTGCATTTGTACTGGATAGCATTTGACACTGGTTTTTATTTTACTTTATGCAACCAGTGATTACCTTATTATAACAGTGCTGCTGTATTGGGACATTCTTCTCCCTTCAAACTGTAGCTAAGACAAAAAAGTTATTCCACACAGCAAATACCTAAATGATGTATAGATGGAAGTGTAGCCACACATGGATATTAAAGCATTTCCTTTGGCCTCATTTTGCTCCTGGGAGAAGAGTTAGTTGGAAAGCATCCAGTTTTACCCTGAACGTTAACTTGAACGAGGATCCGTGTTCCCAGGGATCTGACACTAACGGAGTTGCTTTCTAACTTTTTTAATGAGGAAGAATTCCTTTTTCATCTCTGGTGTAAACAAAAAACAGCTGCAGCGAACGCTCTGTCGGGTAATGGCTAGAGCAAGAGTCTGAGAATGAGGTGTGGCCCCATTAAGGTCAAGGGAAAAACTGCTATTAATTTTGGGATTTCACCCCCTTCTCTTTCTACATCCCCAATTCTTGTGCAAACTCTACAGATGGAAAGTCGCCAAGTCCCATATTTCCTGCACTTTGAAGCTTCTCTTTGTAAACTCAGGGGGGAAAGATACATAACTGGTTTGAACAACACTTGGAGATTTTTAAAATTAGAAAGCTAGGTGTAAGCAAACTGTTTTCCTTCGTGATCTGCCTTTAGTTGCAGTCATGGTTTCAGTGGATTCCTCCAGCATTGGCTTGTGTTTCTAGCATTGATTTGGATACTCTGCAGATAATTGTCTAACAGGTGGCAGAGTCGGAACTAATCCATCAATTGGTTAAATTCCACCTAGTCCAAATAATCTTGTTAGTAGCTGTTTTGCCCTTTCAGCAGTCACTTTAATTAATATTCAGGGCTGTGCAG